CACACAAAAAAATTTTTTTAAATAGTTCAGCATGGTGGCATATGCCTGTAGTCCCAGCTACTCAAGAAGCTGAGATCAGAGGATTGTCAGAGCCAGATAGTCAAGGCTGCAGTAAGCTATGATTGAGCCAGGTGAATTGGAATGAACATATTTGCATACAACAACAAAAAAAATTTTTTTTTTTTTGAGTTGGAGTCTCACTCTGTCGCCCAGACTGGAGTGCAGTGGCCACTGACAATATTACTGTCATATAGTGGGTAGAGGCCAAGGATACTGCTCAAAAACTTACAATGCATATAACAGCCCCATACAGCAAATAGCCATCTGGTCTAAAACATTGATAGTGCTATTGTTAGAAAGGCTATCCTAAAACACACACACACCATGACCACCACCACCACCAACAGCAAAACATGTTAGAATATGAGAGAGAATCAAAATGGGTTCCCTATCCCTGTTGATATGTTATTTTCACCATTTTGTTTTTTCTGAGTTGGAATCTCACTCTGTTGCCCAGGCTGGAGCGCAGTGGCATGCTGCTCATAGCCACCACAGACCCTACCTGCTGGAGGCGATCCTTCCATCTCAACCTTCCAAGTAGCTGGAACTACAAGTGTGTACCACCATGCACAGTCAATTTTTTGATTTATTGTAGAGATGAGGTCTTACCATGTTGCCCTAGGCTCAGGCAATTCTCACTTCCACCTCCCAAAATGCTGGAATTAGAGGCATGAGCCACTACATCCAGTATCTTCACCAAATATTAAACTGCTTTACAAAAAAACAAAGCACCACTGGTTATCACTAACACAGCTCTCTAACCTACTCCAGTAGTTGATCATGGATCCCGATAGTTCTTGACACAGTTGTCATCATAATGTATCATTTTTTATATTGTTTCTATACATTTTCCATGTTTCTGCAAGGTCTTTATTATCAAAGTCACTGTCAGGCATTTGAGGACATCTGTGTCATCGATTTTTATTTCACTTTATTTTAAAGATGTGGGGTACAAATTTTTTAAGGTATTAAAAATGTTTTTCAGATATCTGTTCTATGAGGGAGGACCCAAAATTGTATTTATTCTTACATATTTAAACTTCAGTCACCTTCAAAGTACTCTCTCCATTTTGATGCAATACACCTATTGAGATGCTTTTTCCACTGCTCAAAATGGTTTTTGAAATTGTCAATTTTGATGCCTTTTAGTGCTTATGTCGTTTTTTGTTTCACCTCTTCCATGCTAGCAAAACGTTTCCCTTTAAGTACTTTCTTTATCCAGGAAACAAAAAAAAGTCACTCAGGCGAGATCAGGTGAATAGGGAGGGTGGGGTACATGAGTCATGCCGTTTTTTGGTCAAAAACTTGTAAACACTCAGCGAGGTGTGAGCAGGTTGTTTGTGTAAATCATCCATCATGAAATGGGCAACTGCATTGAAAGAACCTCAAAAAAAATTTCACTGAAGCCAAACACAGCCTCTCACAACAATGCTACCTGGTTCCCGGATAGCAATGGGTTCCTAGTGGGGAAAGTATGTTCTACAATGGGCTCGCCTTCCAAAAAACAGTTTCAGGAGTTTTTTCGGTCCTTCTCATATGCTGTACTTAGCCCTTAATTTGTCTCACCTAATATACAATGTTATTGGCTTCTTGTGAAAATTTTAAACATGGGCTAGTCTTGAAAACAAACCAAAAAAACTGTAGAATATTATAGAAGCTCTTGAAACTTTATTACTTAGAATTTTTTACTTTACTTCCAGCAGTCTTTTATCAAGTATTCAAAAACCTCAAAGCACAATGACCTAGTCTTCAGTCTATTCACCTACTTTTCCTATGGTTAGTTTTATCTTGTCAAATTTAAAATAATTTAAAAGAAAACAAAACATAAATTTCTTTGAAGCCCTGAACTAAAAATCTGAAGTATTTTCACCTCTATATAAGCCAGCATTATTCCATTCTCTGAGCCCCTGTTGTAACTGGTACATTCAGGTCTTTTAGCCTCTGTGGTGACAACTGAGTAATGACCAGGTTTACCTGCCTATTTCTCCCACTAGAGCACCTCAAGAGCAGGCAAACTTGTTAATCTTTGTACCTCTGGCTTGTGGTAGATGTTGATATATGATGGGGGATCCCCAAAAAGTGAAATTATCTTTTGGAGGGCTGGTCCCATGTAGTACAGCTTCCCTCACTAGGTAAGTGATCTAGGAACTCATAAGGTTTTATCTGGAAGTTTTGAAAAGGTTGCATCACAATTTGTGGAAGAAACATCCCCAGTTGTGGCAAACAAGTGACAGTTCTTCCACCATGACAATGCATCTCACCACACTGTGCAGAGCGTTCACCAGTTTTTGATCACTAAAGAAAGTTCATGACCAGGAGAGCACTGTTCAGCAGTTTTTGACCAAAAACAACATGACCTGGTGCTCCGCCCTCCTTATTCACCTGATATCACCCCAGTGACTTTTTTTTTTTGTTTCCCCGGATGAAAAAGTCCTCAAAGGGAAATGTTTTTGCTGATATGGAGGAAGTGAAACAAAAATGGCAGGAGCACCAAATTGAGTTCAAAAACTGTTTTAAGCAGTGGAAAAAACATTTCTATAGATGTGTTGCATCAAATGGAGAGTACTTTGAGGGTGACTGAAGTTTAAACGCGTAAGAATAAATACACAATTTTTTATAAATAAATTCTGGCTTTTTTGGAGTCGCCCTTGTTTATTTGTAGATTGTGTAAATGACAGGTCAAATTCCTACTGACTTTTGGTCAATATTATAAGAGTTAGCATTTATTTGTCTCTGAAATTTTGCTGTGTCCACTTGAGATCTCTAGGTGTTTCAGGTGTCCACCATTTCAGGCCATAAGAAAAGAACCTAAGCACAGAGACCATAGTTTATATTTTCACTATAAATTTTTATTAATTGGGAATTGGGAAAAGTGCTACATTAGACTCCAGGAGGACAAGAGTCTCATGTCCAAAGAATAGAAAACATTAGTAAGAAGCTTAGCAAACTTCAGGTATCTATTTCGGTGTCCCTGACAGGCCACCAAATTAGCCTGGTCCCATAAGCCCAAGACCCAAAAGAAATGCGTTGGAAGACTATTAGAGAGTTTCCCCAAATCATGGGCTTCCTTATCTTCTTTTTCCTTCTTCCATTCATACTGAAGCCTATTGCTTTGAACTATGTTATTTGCTTAAATTTTTATTTCCTAGTTTTTCCAAATACATAATTGATATACAAACTGTGTTTTAACAGAGATATATAGTCAGAGAGTGATCCTGTATGTCTGAGGTTTAGTGAGTGTACTGGAGGTAAAAGGAGGAATTTGGTAATTAGTAATGCTAATTCTTGTTATCTGGTAAAAACTGAACATGTAAATCATTCAAAACTATTGTCAAAATTCTTCAAGGATATAACATCGGGACATAGGGCAAATATACTAAGACTGTTAATAAGCAGTTACAGTCAATTCTACAATTTTTTGACAGAAAGTTGTGTTTGTCAAGTTATCACTAAAGAAAGTTCATGATTTGGAATCTGGTGGTTAATTATTTTCTCACTAATGTTCTCCGAGCTCTTATGCTACTGGATAAAGCCTATTAACTTTATTACTCTGAGCATTTTGTGGAGGGAAAATGCCAGTTTGCAAGGTTGCTTAATGAATGTAAAGTTAAGGTAAGATGAGGACTCTGGATTACCATTTTACTGCTCCACTTGAGAGAGAAAAGAAGTGTTAAAAGTACTCAATTAAAAATATTCACCTCAGCAGTTCTGCATCTTGAATGCACACTGGAAATCTCTTGGGGAGCTTTCAAAAATACTGCTGCCTGGGTCCCACCCCCAAAGAGGCTGTTGTAATTGGTCTAGAAGGCAGCCTGGGCATAGAAAAATTTAAAGGTCCTCAGGTGATTTTCATGCACAGGTCAGGTTGAGATTCACTGCCTCGAAGGCCCTGACACACACTTTGCCCAATATGACTTATTTAAGATCAGCAATTACTTACTTTCTTCTTGAAGTAATTATTAGATAATCTACTCTTGTGTTAACTGCTCTAAGTGGAAGGGTACCTTACTATGTTTTCTATTACCCAAGGATCAACATAAATAAAGCCCCTAAGGTAAAGGAATATTTAACTATTCCATTAATATTTATCCTAATCAAATAACCATTTAAAAACTGAGACTTTCAGTAAGTTCTTTATATATTACACCTTAATTCCTTCTGCCTTTTCACTTAATTACTTAATTCCTTGCAAAATGTCTCATTGTCTTGGTTCTGAAAATAATTTTTGTCTGAGCTATAGGTAAGGTTAAAGATACTTAGCTAGGATCTGTTATGCTAAATGTAATATCAACTGTAACTAGTCACACAAAACTCATCTAATTTCATTCTCCTCAATATTTTGTGCTAACTAAATGAAAACCTAATGGCTAGAAGGGAACTCTAGTTCTTCTTTTTAAAAATCGGTTCTAGCCGGGTTCGGTGGCTCAGCCTGTAATCCTGAGCCTTTGGGAGGCTGAGGTGAGTGGATTGCCAGAGCCCGCGGGTTCGAGACCCACCTGGGCAGCGAGACCTCATCTCTACAATAAATCAAAAAATCAGCCGGGCGTGGTAGCGCATGCCTGTAATTCCGGCTACTCGGAAGGCTGAGGCGGAAGGATCGCCGGAGCCCAGGAGGCGAGGCTGCGGTGGCCGGAAGCGGCCACTGCACTCCAGTCTGGGTGACCTAGTGAGACTCCAACTCAAAAAAAAAAAAAAAATTTGTTCCAGTTCCTCTTTATATGAATCTTCATTTCATGGACTTAACCTAGGTATGAGAATTCTCATCATGTAATTTGTCCAAAATCAACTTGCATACAGGAACAGCACCGATATCATGACAAATAACTCAACCAAAGAGATAAACAAGCAGGTAGAACTGGTTTAAAAAACAGTGACAGAAAATAACTGGTTCTACAGAAATCTAGAATTTTAGGTACTGCACTTCAGAACCAAGCACTTACATTTTCTAGGAGGCAAACAGCAGCAGGATTCCCACAAAATGCTCTTGCTGTGAAGGCATCTGCTATGAAAATAGGGAGCTTCATTTTCCTTGCAAGCTGTTTTTGCAAGCTCTCAAAATTGCTGGGAGCCTTCTTTACTTCTTGCTGTTGGAAAAAAATCGAAAAGTTAATGTTTTACTTAATGTACAGAGCCAACTAACAGTTCCCAGATACAAAGTCAAGCAATTATTCTAACACACCTACATTTAAAGATATGTGATCCTCTGATTTCAAAAGCCTCTAAATTGAATTTATTTTAAAATACTGGTTAAACGGAATTTTTTTTCTAAATTTTGTATTGACCTTTTATACTGTACATAGAACTTAGCAGCCTAATCATATTCTTTCGTAGAGTAGCCCAAACTAACTTAGGCTTTATTTTATTAGGTTGGTACAAAAGTAATTGTGGTTTTGGACCATGAATTTTAAATCATTATAACTAGGCTCAAACATCTTTATTAATAAAAATTGGAACCATTACAATAAACACATTTTTGCCAATGAGAAATTAGTCTGTTTATTCCTGTAGTGTAAAAATCCATGCTTTGGGATTCCACAAACTCTTTTCCTTTTCTGCATCCTGCTGATTGTGGAAGTGTTGTTCCTGCAAAAAGTTGTTGAGATGCTTAAAGAAGTGGCAGTCAGTTGGCAACAGGTTAGGTGAGTATGGCGGATGAGGCAAAACCTCCTAGCCCAATTTGTTCAGTGTTTGAAGAACTGGCTGTGTGAATGTGGTCTGCAGGCGTTGCCGGTGCATCTCATCTATTTGCTGAGCATACTTCTCAGATGTAATGGTTTCACTGGGATTCAGAAAGCTGTAGTGGATCAGACCTGCAGCAGACTACTGGACCATGACAATTTTGGGGGGTGCAAGTTTGGCTTTGGGAAGTACTTTGGAGCTTCCTCTTGGTCCAACCACTGAGCTGGTCGTCACAGGTTGTCGTATACAATCCACTTTTTCTAGTAGGTAACAATCCAATTGAGAAATGGTTCGTTGTTGTGTAGAATAAGACGACACTTTGAAATGATGAATTTTTTGAATTTCAGTCAGCTCATGAGGCACCCACTTATCAATCTTCTTCACCTTTTCAATTTGCTTCAAATGCCAAACAACTGTAGAATGGTGACACTGAGGTCTTTGGCAACTTCTTATGTAGTTGTAAGAGGAACAGCTTTGATTATTCCTCTCAATCAGTGTTGTCAATGTACAACCGCCGGACACCACACTCTTCATCTTCAAGTCTCCCCTCTCCTTTGCAAAACTTCTTGAACTACCACTACACCATGCGTTTGTAAGCAGTTCCTGGGTCAAAACCGTTGTTGATAGTGCAAGTTGTCTCCACTGCTTTATGACCCACCCATTTTGAACTCAAATAAGAAAATCACTCAAATCTGCTTTTTGTGTAACATTATTTCCATAGTCTAAAATAAATATAAAATAAACAGCAATAAGTCATTAGCAAAAAATGTGCATTAAAATGATGTATCACATGATCACATTTAAGATTTTTTTTTTTTGAGTTGGAGTCTCACTCTGTCACCCAGACTGGAGTACAGTGGCCATTCCTGGCCACCGCAGCCTCGCCCTGCTGGGCTCCGGCGATCCTTCTGCCTCAGTCTTCCAAGTAGCGGGAACTACAGCCGCGCGCTACCACGCCCGGCTGATTTTTTGATTTTTCGTAGAGATGAGGTCTCCCCAAGTTGCCCGGGCGGGTCTCGAACCTGTGGGCTCAGGCAATCCACTCACCTCGGCCTCCAAAACTGCGGGATTACAGGCTGAGCCACCGAGCCCGGCAAGAATTATTTTAATATCAAACAGCAAATATCAACAACACAAAAACTGAAATTACTTTTGCACAAACCTAATAATAAAGTGCATGAAACATCCAAGAGGCATGTATATTGCTTACAGTCTGCCAATTATGGCTATTATCCTTTTAAAATAATGCATTTTTTTCTAGTTTAAAAAATGCTTTTGTTAAAAAAAAAAGGAAAATGAAAAAAGACCCATAACCACAAAAATCAGAAATAACAATATTAATGAGATGTACAGTTTTTAGTCCGAATTTTTATCCTTTTAACAGTACAGTCAGTCCTCTGTATCCTTGCAGGATTGATTCCAGGATGCCCTACAGATACCAAAATCCATGAATGCTCAAGTCCCTGATAAAAAATAGTGTAAACAGAAGGCCAACTGTACAGCATGAGATTTTCCAAGGATGCCAAATGCTTCAAAACATCATTTTAATAGATTCATGATAGGCTTATGGATATGCTCTAAATTACTTAACCATATGCCTTTGGGTGAATATTTAAGTCATTTCTCATTTTTCACCTATAAAAATAACATAGTAATCAAACTTGTTGAATGTAAATCTAGGACTGCATTTCTAATTATTTAATTATAATAGATTCCTAAAAGTGAAATCCCTGGGTCTAAATATATAGATATTTTAATTTAACCAGTTAAATTTATCTGCAGAAAAAGTATACCAATTTACAGTGTATGAGAATGTCCCATCATTGTTAATTTGATAGATAAAAATAATATCTTGAGTTTTTAATTTGTATTTCTTATATTGTTCTAATAAGATTGTAAGAGTATAACATCAGAATCTCTTTTTGTCTTTCTGCACAGCTATAATCTCAGCTCCTAGAATGGTGCCTGACACATAATAAATATTTATTGAATTAAGTAAATGATAGTATACTGTACTGAGCATACATCAAAACTGAACTTTTATACATCAGCTGTCAAATATTAGGGTTTCTCATCATGGTGCCACCTGCCAGCCAACATTGCAGTTTTAGTAGTATCACCATTATTAGTAGTACATTACAGTTTGTTTATGCAATTATTTGGAAATTTTATCTTTTCCTAAAAGAACTCCAATTTTCTTTGGAGAAGCAGTGTACCAAGCCCCAGACAGTGATTTATAAATGGTCTAAGTCAGTCAGGACAATCCCATTCTCCTTTACCGTATGCTCACTCCTCCCAGATTCTTTTGCAGCTAGAGATGGCCATATGACCCAGTTAGAGAAAGATTGCAGGAGGAATTCTGGGGGAGCTGTTTTGCTTTCTGATCAAAGGGGCAGACCTAATAAAAGAATAGACTGCCACCACCCCTTCTACCACCCCCACATGTTCCTGTGTTGAACATGTTCCTGATGCTTGGAAATGCAACAATTAACATTTGGTCATGAGGTGACAAATATGTAACTGAAAAGTTTAAAAATGAGTTAAGGAAGAAAAAAAAAATGGGTTCTCGGTGATATAGTTAACCTGATAAGTAAACATTAGCAGCTCCTACTCCAAACTTCTTGTTTAGTAAATAAAAAATGTCCTTAAAATTCAAACCATTGTTAGTCCATGTGGTCACCAGAATAATGGCTCCCCAAAGATGTCCACATCCTAATTCCCAAAGCTTGTAAAAATGTTTTGTTATATAGCAAGAGGAATTAAAATTGCAGATGGCATGAAGATTGCTAATCAATTGACCTTAAAATAAAGAGTATTCTGGATTATCCAGGTAGGCCCAATGTAATCATAGGAGTCTTTAAAAGTGGAAGAGGGAAGCAGAAAAGTTCAAATCAGACAGAGACATAAAGATACAATACTGTTGGCTTTAAAGATAGAGGAAGGAGCCACAAGCCAAGGAGTGTAGGTGGCCTTTAAGTGTTAGAAAAATAAAGAAACAAGTTCTCTCCCATAGCATCCAAAAGAAACAAATCTGTATTAGTCAACTCATGATGCCATAACAAAATACCATAGACTGGGTTACTTAAACAACAGAAATTTATTTTCTCACAGTTTGGAGGCTGGGAATTCCAAAATCAAGGTGCTGGCCAATTCTGTTCCAAGTGAGGGCTGTCTGCCTGGCTTGTAGACATCCATCTTCTTGCTATGTCCTCCCATGGCAGCAAGAGCTGAAGAGCAAGTTCTCTGCTGTCTCTTCTTCTAAGAGCACTAATTTCAACATGAAGGTTTCATTCTCATGACTCATCTAAACCTAATAATGCTCTCCCAAAAACCCTATCTACAAATACCATCACATTGTGGGTAAGGATTTAACATATGAATTGGGGGTTGGGGGAACATAATTTAGTCCATATCAGCAGCCCTGCCCATACCTTGATTTTTGTCCCTTTGAGACCCACTGTGGGCTTCTGACCTCCAGAACTGTAAGTTAATAAGCTTATGTTGTTTCAAGCCACTACATTTATGGTAATTTGTTATAGCAGCAATGGGAAACTAATATAGTTCAATATTCTATTACTTGCAGCCCAACACATTTTAACTGCTGCATAAACCTTCAAGAACAATAATAATAGTTAATAATTACTGAGCACCTATTATATGCTAGGCATGATTCTAAGAGTATTTAATTCTCAGAGCACACCTATGAGGTAAATACTATTATAATCTTCATGTTACAAATGAAGACAACTCAGACATTTTAAATAAATTGCCCAAGGTCTGGTCAGGCATGGTGGCTCATGCCTATAATCCCAGCACTTTGGGAGATTGAGTAGGGAGGATTGCTTGAGCCCAGAAGTTCAAGACCAGCCTAGGCAACATAGTAAGACCTCATCTCTACAACAAAATAAAAAAATTAGCTGGGTGTGGTGATGTGTGCCTGTAGTCCCAGCTACTCAAGAAGCTGAAGAGGGATGGTCACTTGAGCCCAAGAAGTCGAGGCTGTGTTGAGTTGTGATCATGCTATTACATCCAGCCTGGATAACAAAGTAAGACCCTCAACTCAAAAAACAAAAACAAAAACAAAAACAACTGTCCAAGTACATACATTTAGGCAATGCCTAAATTTAAACCCTAATGGTCTAACTCCACAATCCATGTTTTTAACCATTATGATTTAGAATATATCCAAGGACAAGAGTTTGAGAAACTCTCACTTAAGGAACAAAAATCTTAGTACCAGAAAGTTACAAATTATCACTGCGTAAGATAAATTTTGCTTTAAGTTTTAGAATAATATTTTAGACCATCGTTGAAGTAAAAACTCAGGATTTAAAAATTCTCTTATAATCTGGGGAATGGACCACCTGAGACCTAATCTCTACTGCTACATAATATGTCCATGTAA